GCAGCCGCCCCTCACATGCCGGTCTTCTGCAGGGATCCATCTTTCTTTCTTCCGTTTCTCTCTGGACCTTCCTGGGCCACCTCACTCATGGTCTCAATGTCAGCGCTCAGTTGATGACCTGGTCTCAGGCTTCCCTTGCCCTTCACACACCTCTATCTGTCTGTCCCACCGGCATTGAGGCAACACTACTCAGCCTCAGGGAGGGAGCCAAGTACTCCCTGTATCTCCTGGTGCCACCATCCACCCATCCACCCAGTCACCCATTAAGCCGGAAACCCAGAAGCCACCCCAGGGCTCCCTCTACTTCATACCCACATCCGGTCAGTCGTTGATGGAGTCCTGTAGAGTCCTGTAGAATCTAACTTGGCAACCGGCTCTGCCCCTTCTTCTCCTGCCAACACCCTTCCATCCAACCTGCACTATGGCAATGACCTCAAATAGGTCTGCTGGCCTCTCCCAGCCTCCAAGCTGCTGCCAGAGTCATGTTCCAACAGCTTTAATGTGGTCGGGATGTTCCACCCCAGTACAGAAGAACGAAGCTCAGTGGGAGCACGTGATTTTCTCGGGACGGCTGTGCCCTGCTTCTCTTCAGCCACACCGAGTGCAGGTGCCTCACACGTGCTGGCTGCTTGGGCTTCCTTGTCTTTTCTGGGCAGGTCCCCGGCCAGGAAGGTTTCTCCCCTCCCCCCATCTCTCTGTTCCGGACTCCCAGCTCCACGTCTGTCTACCCGACACCTGGTCCTCTTTCTGTCTGTAACCCAGACGTCTCCTCTTCAAGAGGAAGAATGTACCCTTCCCTTCCTTGTATTCGTACTGCCCTCTTCATCCAAAAGGCCTTTAGTAGTTTCCATATGTCTGTCCTACCAGACTGAACCTTTGCTGGGGGGGGGGGGGGTGCTGGGGCAGAGGGTGGGAGTCCGCTCCAGTAGTTACCTCCCAGGAGGCCTCTGGTGGACTAAGAATGTGCTGTGTTGACTGAAAAGGAAATGGATTCAATGAAAGGCCTCAAATAACTTCATTAAACATACTCTATCCCATTCTCCCAAGGTGATTGTCTTATCTCCCTTCATTGCTCTCTGCCTTTTCTCTCATTCACACTCTCCTTCTAATTCCTCGTTTCCTTTTCCTCTTTTCTTCTTCTTCCTGGCTGCTTGCTATCCCCTTTAGCTTCTGCAGACAGGTGCGCCAGCTCCTGGGCACAGCGGCCCTGGTCCTCCTTCGCTGTACCTCCCCTTGGCCACGTCTTTGAGGCTTTATGTCTACGTTCTAAGAGCCCCAGCTTGTCACCTGCAGACACTGCCGTTTGCTTTGGAGCATGCATCCAGGAAGGTGGTGATATTGACAAGTGAGGTCACAGAAGGAGGAAAATGATGCCGATTTTCTGATCAACTGGATGTAACACCCAGATAAGGTCCTTGGGTAAAAACCTTAGTTAAAAGTCCTCCTAAAAATAATAAGAAATAATAACCATGTGAGTGCAGTATTTAAGTTCTTCCCTTTCGAGGAGATGTTTGTTTTTCCTTTTAAGATGCTAGGCGTCCTGGCCCTAAAATATCCCTGAACATCCATGTATACCAGATGGAGGAGGAGATGCGCTCCACTTGGTGGCAATTCGAGGACTGTGGGAACCTGGTGTGCCTTCTCGGGCTGCACAGATGTCCCATGCTGCCTCTTCTTAGCTGCCATGAGACCGGGGACAAGGTTAACGCAAGTCGCCATGCCCTTTTGCAGATTACGCACAAGGGGACTCCTGCAGGTGCCTCTCCTCCTCAGCGAGAATTCAATCCAGGACAGAGACCCGCCTGACCTTATGCACTAAGGGACCCTGGGTGGGGCCCAGTCACCTCTTGGGAACAGGGGTGGGGGACCTGCCAGTCCTCACTAAAGAAACAAACATAAGTGGGTGAAGAGTTAGTCCTAAAGCCAGATGGGATCCTGTGCTTTTCCTCTCTAATGGCAGTTAATAATAGGAACTTGGGTTAGGTGTGAATGGCTTAAAGCCCACAGGAGACACTCACTGATTATTTTAAAACTCTCTTCACCTGACACAGACACCAGCCCAGGCCTTCCTCTGGTATTTTTGTCCCTGAAACTGCTGTCTGTGTGGTTGGCCACTGAAGAGAGAAATGAAAGCCACCAGAAGGTTGTTGGAGAGCAGTTCCTCTGCTCTGCTTGGAGGTAAATTTTGGATTTGGGATCTGCTCACCACTGTAATGAAGGTGTAGAGAGGTGAGCAGAAATTCTGTTTTTACATTCAGATTGAACTAGGCAGGGTTAATCCAACCTTGGCTCAGAGAGGCCAAGTGATACTCCTTGGATCCCAGAATTGAAAGCAAAACTGGGGGTAGGGCCCTGTCAGCCAGTGATCTTCCCATAAATTCCCGGCAGCCTTTGGAATGGCCTTTGGAATATCCCCCAGAAATATCCCCCAAACCAGCCAGGACACTCAGGTGATCTGGCACCGAGTTGCGCCGGGAGGAACTACGCAGCAGGGGCCCGGAGTCCGGGCGGGGCGGGCGGCCGTCCCTGGCAGGCCCATGGGTGCTGGGCAAGGCAGACAGAAGGGGAATCCGCAGGCAGTGACTTTCACAGAGGCTCCAAGAATAAATGACCATTCCTTCTACAAAGCAGGATGGGGGTTCTCGATCCTGGTGAAACGGGGACCCAGCTCTCTCTGCCTGCAAAGAATAACAGCTCCTCCTTCCCAACAATGCTCGCCAAGCCCAGCCTTTCTCAGGAAACCGGTCCCCAGCATTGAACGCCCTTGTGTCTGCCATTGCACGTGCAATGGAAGTGCCTTAAGGAAGCATGAGTAATGTTTCCCACCTAATCTGCACACGCTCAATCCTGAGCGTGTGTGTTCCTCCTCGTTCCCGGGTCCGGGCACGGCGGCTGAAGTGAGTCATCAGACATGATGGGGCAGCCGGTCACGTCGATGGGTGCACAGTCGTGTGTTAATGAATGTTAAAACCGACATGGCAAATACAGCGTTCTCAATTTTTAAATTACAACTCTGTAACAAGTCATGCTGTTAAAACATACAGAAAATACCAGTTAAGCCTTCAAGTAGATAACACACAGCCTGTGCAGATCACGGTCATCCCAAATGCACAGCAAATCATTTTCTTTGAAATGAGGCAAGAGTTAGCAGGTAGTTCAATTATTTGAGGACTAAGATAAGTAGAAATAACAAATCCAAATATTAAACACCAATTACTACGTTAGGAGCTACAGATCAGCTCGGCATTGCAACACGCCCCTCCTCGGGAGCAAACCCAGGAAATACGGGGTTTGGCAGAAAACACAAACCTATAACAAATATGCATCTATGCAATAAAGACACAGTATCACTTTCCAAACAGCACTTTCAAAATGCTCATCATGTACATTGTGAGGAAAGCCTGGCTCATATATTCGTCCCCATTGCTTTGAAAATAACACCTCCAAGTGTCGGGAGTGACACTGCTGTCAAACCAGCCACTGGCAATAAGTGACCTGAAGCTTCTGCTGTGGCCCCTAAAGGAGGTTTATGGGTCAGTTTGACCGCCCGGTGGCCAATGACATCATTTCATACATTTTTCTTAACTCTAGAAAAAGAACAAAGAATTAACCTGACCCTCCCTGATTGGCTCCAGTGACCAGAAGAACAGCTACATAAGATGGTATCTAGCAAGATCCATTAAAGCCCAACTCAGAGCACTTGGGAACTTCATACCTTGGTGGTACGTTAGGGGAGAGGAAGGTGGTTTATTCCTGGGTCACTGTGCAGTCTCCATCCTTTGTGAGAATTAACCCATGTTTAAGCCAGCTAAGTTGTTCTCTCTCGCTCTTATCTGAAACCATCGTTTGGAGAACTCGATGCTTTTGGGACAGTCTTATGCTCAGAAGTGACTAAAGTTCCAGGATGGGCAAAGTAACATTTTATACAAGTAGATATATGTACAAGAGATGTTAAAAAGACAGTCTCTAAAGCACTTTGGGATTCCCCTAATGAAAGGCACCAGATAAATGCAAGTCATTACCAAAATGAAAAGTCAAGTATTCCAGCTTCCACATCTGCAAAGAGTAACCACCATGGGTATCTCTTTTTTGATGGTGAAACCTGCCTGATTAGAAAGATACTCATGAGAGTGACTGAGTTTTACTCTGCCTCCTTTCTTGCTCCATTTTTCATAAGCTTTATGGTCAGGGACCACGGAGACCACACTCGGTGATCTGATACCATCAGTTCTTGCAAACTGAAGAGTCCTCACAAGTCTGTACCGTCACCTGACTTCAGTGCAGCTAGAGCTGATTTTGTAAACTCTCTGCCTTCCAGTGCTGCAAACATCAGCCAAAGCCAATGCTCCATGTGGAAATTCTAAACGATAACCCTGCTTTTCTAACTTGGTGGCCCATTGCCCCTAAGTCACCTCACCGTTTCCTAATGCCTCTGAGAAACAGACGCAGATGGTAGACCACCAGGCACTGGGATGTGGTCATCTCCCCACACTCTAGGAGGCTCCAGTCTGATGGCAGAATGTGAACTGGGGACTCAAGGGCATGTGTGACTAGTGCATTCATCCAACAAATTGCCTAGTCTGTAGTATCCATGGCAACTACAAGTACACAATGCCTTCTGACAAGATCCTCACCATATTTCCATAAGGTATGTATTACTTTCAACTAAGACACAAAATGGCCTGTTTAGGGAAGGCCCAAGCCATGGATAAAATGTTTGCCTAACTCCATGCCTAGACTCCTGGAGTCTGCAACCTTTCCAAAGACCGAACCATAGTGGAAGCCAACTGTAAAACCATCTGATTACCTAGAACATAATGGAGACCTATCCTGCAAAGGGGCCCGGGTTCCCTTTCCCAACGTTATGTACTAGCTAACTGAAGAAGAAGAGGGAAAGCATTTTAGAGAAGGAAGAATGAGTTCTCAACCTCCAACACAAGTTTAGAAGTTTAAAGGCCTTTGGAATAATAGGGTGTTTTTCAAGAAGTTTACAATGATTAATGACAGTGGCAACGTTTTGTTTTACAACTCTTTCCTTTCTTCTGCCTCTTCCCACCCTCCTCCAACAAAAGGCAGTTGAAATGGAAATAAGGACGACAGTATTTCCGTCCTGGTAAGCATCACAGCCTTCACACATTCCTGTGTTTTGAGTACATACTTTCACATCACCAGATTTCCACGCCACACCAGGAACTCCCAGGAAATTACATCACTGCATATAACATACTATATCCTAGAAGCAAAATGATCTAAGTAAATTCTGCTTGGCAGTAAAAGGGTTCTCATTTTACAAGCTTGCAGAACAGGCAACAAAGTTTCTAAGCTACTGCCCTTGCTGCAACCCGACAATGTTTGCTTCAGGGAAACAACACAACAGTAAACCTGTTTTCAGTTGAAAAAGACAACACGACCTTATTTCTAAACATTAAAAAAAAATATTTCAAAAACATGCTACTATCTAAAACACAGCAAAGTTGGGTCAAATGGCCTAAACCAGGAACCTCAGCTAGAAATGAATGCCTCCACGGGTACCCCAGGAAAGACAGAGGCCTGACTTTGAAAAGTCTTTAAGCACCCTATCATTTGACCTATGTTTAGCTGAAGCCCCTGTCCTTAAAGCATTTGTTCTAGGAAAACAATTTTCTATCTTCACTACATGTTTAACAGAGTAACATTCTCTAAAGAGCAACATTTAAGAGGTGAACACCCTCACACAGTGTTCTAAAGGCGACCGACGTACCCATGCAAGTCACAGAGCTACAGGTCATTCAGAAAACAACTCACAGACTTGAACTGGTCATGTGCTGAACATCACATTCTCTTTGTTTTGGTATTAAAACTAAATGAGAGCAATGAATAAAAAACAGAGATTTTGTTTTCACATGAGGTGAGCAAAATCCCATCATATCCTCGCTAACCCCATAGGATGTGTTTCCACTGGACAGACGTATAGGGGCTTTTTGTACAGAACTCACATGACAACCTTAGAAAAAGGAGCACAAAAACCTCACAGACAGTACTGGGTCACGAGCACTAGAGCAGAGTACATGGTGAACAGAAAAATTAGCATTCTGGGTGGTACTCATCCAGCCGAAATGTGAACATTGTATGCCCATGATGCAAACACCAGTGAGTGTCATTCACTGAAGCCGCAGAGGCATGGTGCAGACACACCACCCTCTAAAAGTGATTCTAAATACTGTGAAAGCAACCTGGGGCGCATATCCCATGCATCTCTCCCCTTTGGGGCTGGCCGTACTCCTTACGCCATAACCCTAAGGTGACTGGCCTGTGCCAGGGCCGCTAGAGGCAGCTCAACAATGTGACTTTGAGGCTGACAAGTCCTCTCGCTACTGTAGGGAATCATTTAAACTTAATTCGCTTGGTGAGCTCCTGCTCATGTTTGTCAGGCTTGCCATGAGGGATTTAACTTTATGGGCATAGTAGTCCCTTAAATTGACGGAAGGGACCTCCTTCATTCCGTCTCCAAAGTCACAACTGCGCATAGCACTCTCAAGTTGCTTTTGGCGCCGATAAAAGTGGGAGAATTTATTGAAGATCAAGGTGATGGGCAGTACCACTACTAGGATGCCTGCCAGGATGCAGGCAGAGGCAGTCAGCTTCCCTGCTGTGGTTCCTGGGACCACATCCCCGTACCCCACAGTGGTCATACTGACAGTGGCCCACCACCAGCAGGCAGGGATGGTGGCCAGGCCCTCGTTCTCCTCCTTTTCAATAGTGTAGGCCACTACAGAGAAAATGGAAATCCCCACAGAGAGGTAGAGCAAAAGCAGCCCTACTTCTTTGTAACTGTATTTTAAGGTAGCCCCCAGGGAGCGGAGGCCAGTGGAGTGCCTGGCCAGCTTTAAGATGCGGAAAATCCGCATCAACCTCAGGACCTGGGCCACTCTACCCAAGTTGGCCAAGGTAGGTGTGCTTTCCACCACCAGGTTCACCACCAGAGTGATGTAAAAGGGGACAATGGACATGAGGTCGATAAGGTTTAGGGCATTCTTGAAAAACTTGAGGAAGTCAGGGGCCACAGCAAACCTGGCCACCAGCTCAAAAGTGAACCAGGCGATGCCAAAGTGCTCCACGATTTCGAACCTGGGGTCCTCACCAGGGTTGCCCTGGCTGTCAGGGATCTGGAAGTCCGGCAGGCTGTTGAGGCACATGGTGATGATGGAACCCAACACCACCAGGATGGACAGGACGCTGAAGACCCGGCTCAGGACTGAGTAGCCAGGGTTGTCCAGCGCCAGCCACAGCTGCCTGCGAAAGTTGCCCAGGGGCTGCCCATCGAACTTGGAGGCGTCGTTGTAGAAGGCCAGGATCTCGTCGAAGGAGGACGTGGTGCTCTCTTGGTCGCTCTGCTCGTCCCACTTCTCCTGCTCAGGCTCCACTTTGCGGCCGTGGTAGCTGTAGCTGCAGCAGGAGTCAATGAAGAACTCGTTGATGCCCCAGTACTCAATCTCCTGGCTGAAGGAGAATACGCACAGCTCCGCCATGACGTGAAGCTTGCCAGTGTGGTAGAAATGCAGCACGTAGGGGAAAAGCTCGGGGTTGCGGTCAAAGTAGAACTCACGCTGGACATCGTCGTAGTCATCGCACAGCTCCAGAATGGCCTCGCGCGAGTGGCAGAGCAGCAGGCGGCCTAGGCGAGTCTCAGGGAAGCGCAGCAGCGTGTGCGAGCGCAGCCGCCTCTTGAAACCCCCTACGTTGATGCGGATATCTCCGTCCTCGACGTTGGTCTCCGACACATCCCACAAGCTCTGGCGGGTCATGCTGGAGACTTCCAACCGCCCGCGCACCGCGCGGGGGCGCTACACCTGGAATCGGAGGGAACCGCATCTGGTGAGCGCCGGGTGGTCAGGGTTTGGGCATCCCTCTCTTCCTCCCCACCCACCTCTGGAGGGCCCAGTCCTCTCCAGGCGGGTCTCTGGGTGCTGAAGGGCACTGAGATGGGAGGAATGCTTCTGTGGAGTTTGGCCCCCTCCCAAAGAAAGGCTGGGGGAGGGGTGTGTTTCCACTAGCAGGGCCGCGCCTCCACCCCCATCTAGGGGGTCCTGTCGGTTCCTTTATGCTTGCAGGAGTCGCGCCCCCACGGCTCTGCGAGAAAAGGTGGCTGCGAGCTGACCTTGCCCGTGGGCGGGCCGAGGAGATGTCCCCGCCCGCTCGCCGCAGACAGGCGGGACCGGAGCTGGGATGCGCACGGGCAGGGCTGGGCCGAGATGGGGGCGCGTAGCTTAGGGAGGGAAGCGAGGAAATTCACTGCGCGAGTCTATAAACGCGGGCTGGGGGAAAGGAGCCAGCCTGGCATCTCCTGTGTCCAGCCCCCACGACTGGAATCACCTCGACCCCCTCCCCAGGCCTCTCTGCCCGCTGGGCGCGGTGCCCCGGAGCCGCGTGCGCCGCGCGCGCCGCGCCTTACCCAGCAGAGCTGCCAGGGCTCGCCCTGAGCGTTCTGGAAGCGCTTACCTGCGAGCACTCGGGCCCGTGGCCAGGGCCGGCGGGAAACTTCCCCAACCTGCTGGCGAGCATCGCTGCGGCTGCTGCTGCGGGCTGGCTGTGCGTGTGCGCGCGGATGCGAGTGTGTGTGCGCCTGTGTATGCGCCCGGCGGGCCGGCGGGCCGGCGGGCGGGGTCCGCCGAGCGTCTCCTCCTGTCTCCGGCCGGAGATGCCACTGCCGCCCGCAGTTGCAGGAGGCTCACAGGTGGCTGCTGGCCCCGACGCTCGCGGAGCCACCTGTCTTAATCTGAGCGCCCCTCAGCCCTCAGGAGAAACAGCAGCCCGCGCCGCAGATGCCGGCGGGAGCCGGAGCGGCAGCGGAGTCCGCGCTCCTCGCAGTGGTGCTGAACGGACAGCTCCGCGCACCCAGTCCCAGGCGCGGCCGCCGCCCCATACTCCGAAGATGCCGCCGCCGCAGCTTCTCTGCTCTCCTCTGGCACGTCACGGCCACCTCTTCGCGCCCCAGGCTCCACTCAGGGCCGACACCTTCCCCAAGCTCTCACCTATCTCCTGGTGACAGCTGTTATTGCCACCCTCCTTCCTCCCAGGGCGCAAGCAGGGGACTGCCTACAATGACCATTACCCACTGGGTCTCAGGCAGGAACTCAACTGGAAAATGAGGGGCTGTTTGCCAGGACTGGAGGAACTCCGAGATTCCCCCTTTAGGGCCCTCATGAAAAGTTTCCTGAAGCTGAGGGTCCCAGGGGTGTTGGAGAAAGGCAGGTTCGGAAGGGCAGAAGGGGGCAGGGAAGCTTGAGGTCCGAGCTCGGCTTGCTGGGGGCGGGAGTGCAGGCCCCTTCGGCGTGGGAGGGAGTCACGGAGTTCTGTTTGGGAGCTCTGTGTGGGCGCTGTATGTGCACAGGCCAGTGTAGTGTGTGGGCTTTCGAGGAGTGGTGCATGGAGCCGTGTGTGTGTATGTGTGTGTTTGTGTGTGGTCTGAGGACAGTAGGACTTTCCACTGTCTGTGTGCAGCCTTGATAAGAATGGGAACTCTGAGGGGTGGGGAGATATGTGCAGTGTATGTACACATCCGGGGACTGAGAGCTGTTTGTATAGTGTGCTGTATACAGTGTAGTAGTATTCAGTAGGACAATGACAGGGTGTGCATGCTGACCGTAGAGATTGTGGGTGTGAGTCCGTGTAGATGTCCCCAGTACTGTGTCCACATTCCCCAGATCTAGCTCTTGGCCTCCCAAGTTTGCTCCTTGTGCATAGTCCTTATTTGCAAAGACTAGAGCATCGTGTGAGTTTAGCAGGGAGCTGGTGGGCCACAAGTCTTTGTCAGAAGTGTGTGGCTCTGGACTCATAGGGTAGTCACCATAGCCACAATGGAAAGCATATCCTTTTTTTTATCTGGACAATGCCATGCTAACTAGACAGATGCTCTGTGCAGCTCGAGTGCTGTGGGGTTCCTTGGAGAGCCTGGGACCATTGATCTGGTTTTATGTGGGGCTTTCTGGACCCAAGCCTGGCTTCACTTGCAGGGGTGGGCAGCATCCAGCCTGTGGGCCATATAAGGCCTGCAAAATCAGTACCAGCTAGCATCACATGCCTCACCAAATTAGCCTGACCAAATATAGTAAGCTAATTTTTAAGTTGATAATTTTGTATGGCCTGCAAATGGTGTTATAAATACCAAATGGCCCTTGGCAGAAAAGAGGTTCCCCATGAAAGCTGTCCCTGTGCCAGCCACCTGCCTCTGGGTATGTGTGTGGGAGTGTGTGCAGGTGTGTTGCCTGCTGAGAGGGCTCTACACCCATGTCCCTGCAAGTCTCTGCAAGTGCAGGGCATTCCAGGGAGGTAGGCCCTATGGGAGGGGAGGATAGGGTTGTGTGCTTCTTTTGCGTCCAGTGCTTTGAGAGAGAGAGAGAGAGAGAGAGAGAGAGAGGCACCAGTATTTGTTGTTGTCTCCCATCTTTATTTTTTTGAGGTCTGTGTTTGGAGCATGTTCATCTCATTTCCTACCTAGGTCTGCTGGATCTACCATTTCAAGTCTGTGGCTTTTCCCACACCTGGCTGGGACCCAGTGTCTGCACCTGACCTTTGCTTTTCCTGGGGTCTGGAGGCCCCTAGGTCTCTTTCATTCCCAAGGGAGTGTTGCTTTGAGTGTGCCAGCCTTTGCTGGTGTGTGTGTGTGTGTGTGTGTGTGTGTGTGTGTGTAAATACATGTGTAATCACTGTGTTGCTGCCACTTTCTCTCATTTCAACGTCCTGTCACACCTCGGGGGTGGTGCTGGCTATGAGACCCCCTGCAGGTGCAGTAGCACCTGTGGGGCAGGCTGCACAGGCCCTGTGACTCACTCTAGCCCTTCATCTGTCCTCTCACTGCCTGGCTTCCGGCCACCCCAGAGCTCTCAGCCCCTTCTGCTTCACCACCATATGTCAGTGTGGCTTCTGTGGCATGGCCACCATTCCCAGCCACTGCCATCCTTTGGCTCCATTCCTGACTCTTGCTTTAGCTCAGTGCACAAATCACCTTTTCCTGCTGCATTTAGAGGGTTCTTACTCCCCAAAATATTGGGTTTGATTATTCTGAGGTAGTCTGTTATCCTCCCTTTTATTTATCTGCCTGCCCCCTTCTGTTCCTGTCTGGTTTTGTTCTTGCTCATTCCTTCTTCCTTTGTGGCTGTGGGGAGTTTTCACCCATGGAGAAAGAGCCCTCTGCCTTCTGTTTCTCTTTGTTTCTCCCACCTCATGGCCACCCCATCTGCAGACCACCAGGGCTCTGCCCAGGGTCCTGGGGCGGTCACCCTTCTAATGGGGGCACTCTGTGCCCCCTCTCAGCTCTGCCCCCTCCTTCTGCCAGCCCCCCTCCACCTCCCTCCTTCCCATTCACCCCCCTTCCCTCTCTCTCCTTTGTCCCCTTCCACAGCCAACAGAGCTGTGCCAACATGCCCCAGCCTCTCAGGGGCCCAGTGTCCACACCTGCTGTGTGTTTGCTTTTCCTGGGCTCAAGGACAAGCCCCCCTGCCCACCTTACCTCCCACAGGATGGTGAACTTGGAGGCCACAAGGAGAAGCCCAAGTCGGACACATCAGGTATTTCTTGGAAAGGCTGAGGCAGAAGCTCTGTGGGTCTGACAGATGCCTTTGCAGAGGGTTAAGTGTATGTGACAGGCAGGGCCACTTGTTTATTTCCCAGTCACAGAGCCGAAGAGAAATGAAGCTGTCTCCCTCCTTCTGTCCTGGGGAAGCTGGCTGCGTTCGTGGTTTACTTAGAGGTCTGAGCCCTGATCTGAAAATGCAGCTCCGGGCTCCAGATGCACGTCAAGGCCTGCCCGGGGGATCGCCAAGTGGTGGGGCAGGGACAGAGGCCCCCTGGGAAGGGGCACACAGAGACCCAAGGCAATGGCCCACATCCTGGCCGCCGGAAGACTGTTATCTCTGCCTTCCCTGCCAACACTGATCTCAGTTGAGCCCACACATCTCAAAGCCGGCTTTTTTTCTGACAGGCAAGGGGGCTGCACTGGCGGCTTGGCTGAGGAAGCCGGGCTGCCTGACCTACACCCCCACCACAGAGGCGCGGAGCCTCATCCTGCCCCCGAGCGTGAGCACTGGGCGCCCACCGCCCTGCTGGGGTGCACTGCTCACCTGAGTCCATCCTGCTCCCCACAAGCCGTGCTCCTCAGCACAACCAGTGTCTCTGACAAACACGAGCCAGTCAGGTCATTTCTCCCTAAAAGCCCTCCAAGGGGCTCCTCTGGAAGCGAGAAGGAAGCCCCTCCTCACCACAGTTCAAGGCCCTTCACACGTGCCCTGCCCGGCTCGCAGACCTCATCCCCCCGCCTTCCCGCTGCGCCAGCCGCGTGCCCCTTCGCCCCCTGCCAGGGCCACTGCACCCGAGCTCTCTGCTTGTCACGGCAGCTTCACCCTGCAGGCTTCTCTTTGCCACTCAGGTCTCCATTTAAATGTCACCTCTTTAGAAAGGCCTGGCTGCCCAATAACTGGATCCCTGTTAGTTTCCATCATTTTTTCACAACACTTGTCTTAAATAGTTATGGAATATGGGATTCAGTGATGAACGAATGAGGCTCCAACTCTGATGTTATTCTGTGCCAGCCAGAGTCTTGGCCTGCCTCCTCGTCCTCCTGGTAGATCAAGGCAGCTAGAGGGGGAGGGGACGCTGTGCTCCGGGCTGTGGCTTGCAGCCCCCAGGCTCTGGGGTGTTCCCTAGAACAATTGATTAGCCTAATGGATGTCATTCCCTGCTGCACATTTGAATCACTTGGGGAGCTTTTAAAATAGCTAATGCCCCTGGATGCCTTGGGCTCACCTCAAACAAATTAAATCAGAATCTCTGGTGTGGGGCCCTGGGAATCAGAGTTTTCTTAAAACCCCCAGAGTTATGGTAATATGTAGCCAAGGCTAAGCCTGAGCACCTTGCCTTTGGGTGAGTGAACCCGGAGCTGTGTGCCTGAGCGCAGCTCAGTGGTCAGCACCAAGGGCAGGGGCTGCGTCTTAGCTCAGAGAAAACCCACCCCACCAATTCTAGGCCAGTGCCTACCTGGAGTGGGGGCACCATACAGGCTGGATGCCCTTGTTACTGCCTCCCCTAAATCCCCAATTCCTGTAGCTCTGCCTGAGCCTACGCTTCTCAGAATCATTTACCCTGGAGACAACTTGTGATAGAAACAGTGACAGTTTCTCCCCCTCCCCTTGCAAGGGTATCCGTTCCTAGGCCTATGTTATGCTGCCGGTGGTCACGGGGACCAAGAACAAGGCTGCTGGCAGGCCTGCCTGGGTGGGTGTACAGTGGAAAGGCATGGGGACACTGCAGAGGTGGGGTGCAGAGGCAGAAGAAAACAGGGAAGTGGGCAGGGGAGACCCTGAGCTGCGGAAACAGGTTCTCAGCCTTGGGAAGGTGATGTGGGGGAGGGGAGGAACAGACTGGTGGGGAAGATGAGAGCAAACTTGGGAAACAAAGGGTTTTAAGAAGTTTTGCTGCATTGTTTTCTTAAGAGGCAACAGAAAATATTACATAGCTTGTGCGTGCTTTCTGGATGCCAGAGTGAATTTATTATATGTGCGTTCTTGCCTAGGCCATTTGGATTTATACTCAGAAGCCACCCTCCTCTCTTCCTACAGCCCCCCATCCCTAGGTGCCCCTGCAGGTGGGTTGACAAGGGAAAAAAGGTTGTTTTTGAAGATCTTCTTTCTAAGTCCTTTAATAAAAAGAGGACCAGCTGCGCCATGCATTCTGGCATACACAGGGCCTGCTCCTACGAGGCTGGGCTTGAGGTCCTGCCTCATGCACCTCCTGCTCCAAGTCCCTTTCCTTGGGAGGCTCTCCCTT